CGCCACCCGACCAGGGGACGCTGGAACGTCTCTAATCGGAGCAGCCACCACTGGTCTCTGAACGACTGTTACAGCAGAAGAGAATAAGAAACAGCTGGAGGATGACTTTCAGCAGAAGACTTGGGTGAATAGAAGATCTTGAAGTAGCTTTCACGCTTTCGTCCGTCATTCTAAATTGTTTCACGGTGCGCTTAATAAAAAAAAAACATTGCAAACGCAACGCCAGATAGATCATAAACTGCAAGGGCGGCGCCACCGTGGGGGCAGTGGGGGCAGACTGCCCCCACTGGCAGGAGGCCGTGGGGGCAAGACTATGTTTTTGCCCCCACAAAATTTGGCTGATGTTGACAAGGGAACAGAAGACCGGTGCAACATTCATGATAGGCGATTACGAGTATAATAGTACGCCTGTTTTTGACGGTCCCCGTATCAAGTGCATCAGCAGAACGGCCGTTCTCGGACCGTCTGTCGCATATCTCCTACTCCCACTCATTCTCCTACTCATTTTCATTCACCAGAAGGCTGCCCTCGCCCCTCGAGCTTGACCTCGAGGAGGTTGAGAGGCAGTTTGTCAAAAGTCGGCCAGAGAAGAGATCACCCTCTTTTGGGAACCCTTAGACTGAGATTAAGCTCAGGGAGGTATGAAAAAAATGTGATAGGTTTGTATGTTCGGGTTATCGGGAAATGTATGTGGGTCGCCCTAATGGAGCTTTTTCTGGTATAGGTATCAATCGTGTGTGAGAGAATCGCACATATACATTATACGTACTACGGGAAAGAGAGAACTAGGTGCTTACTATTGTTTTGAGGAATACACCATTTTATATCTCAACGAACAACATAACGTTTTCACAGGTTTGTGTCTCGCAATCTAGTTTTAATTGTTCGCGACCTTAACCCGCGCCGGTGGGGTCTGTTTATAACGCGACCTGGTGGGGGGGGGGGGCTATTTTTTGCCCCCCCCTCGTATCTCCGAAACTACTGGACGGATCCGCAAAATTCAAACGGCGTTCGAAAGGCCTGTCAAATTTGGCGCGGGAAACCAAGTTTCATTGACCTCGGGGTCACCGATGACGTCACAGGTCAGGTCAAAGATGAAATGTTTCACCGTTCACGGGTCTGCTAGGGAATGCGCTATAACACCGAGGAAAACGCATTTTGTCGATAATCAGCGATAGGGCGTCAGTTGCCTAGGAGATATGTTGCTATTAGAGGTCACTGACAATACCAGGTCAGGTCACAGGTCAGGTCACCAAGGGTCACAGGTCAGGTCACATGAGCCCAACTTTACTAAGGTTGTGTGATGCATGTTTTATGGCCAATTTTTCATTTCCAACTCAATGGTGTTGGTTATAAGACTATCAGGTACGGCTTAGGTCACTTTCTGGTGAAGTTCAGGTCAAGGTCAGGTCAAGGTCAGGCCAAAAAAGGTCAAATTTTAAAGTTGATATTTTTGCATAAAATGGGTATTGATTCGATGCAGCTTGTCACGGGGAGTCTAATGGTGGTCTTTGTTTTGCGCTACGGGGTCTAGAATTGCTAAAAATTGAGTTTGAAAATTTGACGTCATCAATTTTGAACAGTTTTTTCGCTATAACTTCGCCAAAAAAAGAGGTATCAATCTCAAATTTGGTATGTGGATGGAAGGCGGTAAGGAATATCACATATATTCTGATTTTTGCGAAATTCAAAAAACTTTTTGGATTTTTGGATTATTTTATCAAAAAAAAAAATATTTTTTGATTTTTGGGGGTCCAAATCCAAAAATTTCAAAAATCCGAGATAGCAGTTTTGTAGCCCTGTTGATTTTACAACTTTTATTACTTAATCATTTTTCTGTATTTGCCAAGCTATAGGCCTGACAGCTCTTCCCGCGAAACCCTTTTTTGGGTCGAAAACGGCAGAACATGACGTCACTCTGACGTCATTTCCGGCCAACCTATCATAGCCTTTGGAAAATTTTTGGTCACAATGTGTAAAATTGATGTCCGGGAGGGTACTGAAAGTTTGGTGACGATCAGCGCAGCGGTTCTGGAGATATATCGAAAAGTCTGGAGGGGGGGGGGGCAAAAAATAGCCCCCCCCCCACCAGGTCGCGGGTTAACCCGGCCGGGCCCGGGGGTAATTCCAACCACCGCAGCCCTGGGTATAGCCTCCCCCCCCCCCCCCACCTGTCTAACTCGGTAAATAAGGCAGCTACGGAAACAAAAATGGTACCAAACGAAAGGTATCTACGAGAAGATTCTAAAGCGCCTAAACTTTTTTTTTACCTCAGGTCAATTTTCAAGGTCAGAAGTCAAGGTCAAAGGCAAAAACCGGCACTTTTGTAGTGGTCTCAAAGTACGTGTTCCAGAGGACGGCATGGTGTATAAAACCGGCTAAAATGGATGGTAAACGAAAAGAGAGTCTGGGGATTCGGATTCCGATGATGATAACATTCAAACATGATGATGATGATGATAACATTCAAATTCAAGGTCACGGTCATGCGCAAAACTGACCACAAACTTTGCATTTTTTCTTATATCTTGTATACTAAATTCCGAGATGTTTTGAAGTGTTTTGGAGCTTAGCGGAGTCGGACCCCTATTTGTGCTTAAGCTTACGATACAAGGCTGGTACAGAGCACAGGGTCAAAGTCACAAGAGTATCCTTGCTAGAGACTATTTCACTTATTCAACTCAGGCATAATAATTAAGACATGTTTTGCCATCCTGATGCTCTAAATGAATGCTTAGAGCAAAATGGATGCCAGAATCATGACCAGTGGCTACGAACTCATCACAAACGACCTTTCATGTGTACAAGTCAACCAAAGGTGATTCGAGGTCACATGAGGTCAACATAAAGCTTGACCTTTTCCAAACAATTTACATGTATGTCATTCGACGCGTCTCGACAAGACGAATGCGAAGGTACCACTGCCGTAGCTCTAGGGCCATTTTTGCTGAAGTTATTTGCGAACTAAACTTGTCCCAGCTCAGGGTCGTTGACCTGACCTCTGACCTGAGGTCACCAAAGTTTTTTAAGTACTTCTTCTAGGTCAATTGCTACACAACCGTGCTCGTAATTTGTCTTTATCTCTAAAACTCTATTTTGGGCATCTGGTTGAAGTTCACGTCTGTGACGACGAAGTTTGCCGTGCAGGAGTCTAGAAAAATCGGCCCTGAGACGTTATCAAGGAGGCTAGTTCCAATTTGTTTGCTTCAAAAGATGTCAAATTAATGGGGGATAAGGTACAGCAAGTTCCGTCTTTCTATCCCTAAGCGTTCGTGAAGTATCGGAAATATTTGCCAGGGGGAGGCGAAAACGCCCTCCGGGCCCGCGATGCTCATGGATTTTGCAAATCGGCGTATCAGACAACAGTCGGGTCACCTCAATCTTGCCCCCACTGGCGAATATTCGTGGCGCCGCCACTGTCATAAAGCTCAGCTCAATTCCGAGATGGCCATGCTGACAAGCTGGCATACGTGAAAGCGATAGGCCCGTATAGTTGTAATTGGAAGACTTTCGAAGTTAAAGTCACTTGCTAATTTGCCGCTAGGGGTACGCCAAATGAAGAGGTCATTGGCTCGGCGGCTCTTGAAATAAAAATGCGTCTTATGGGCACGTGTGCAACAGATGCGCCCATAATGAGCGTACGAAACGTGAAGCCCCTAATCTATCTATCCGGTCCATAAGCGGGGTTGTGCGTTATCCAAGCTTTCGGTCCAGCCGATCCTATCGGGAAGAAATTGGTCCGCCATTGCTTATGTGCAGATAGTAGCTAGATTCCAAAATCCGGATGCTCTTAGGTATGCATCAGTAGTCCCATTTCGATACGTGAGGGAAGGATTAAGGACGCTCAAACAAGGAAATATCTTTTCAACGAATGGGTGTACACTGTACACTGTACAATTACACTACAAAGTACGGTTGCCTGGACGTAAAGCCTCACAAAACATCGAAGGCCGTTCCGCTTATATGTGGCTTTTCCTGCAAGATAGGTAGTTTTTCCCGTTTATCGTTCAGCACTGTCTTACGTCCTTCGATCGCGTGCAAACACGTCTTGCATTATTGATTACGTAAGGGGACGTGGATCAGTAACGAAACCCGACCTTCACCCTACACACACAGGTCATGAGGTTATCGGTGGAGCCAACAAATAACTAAATGCACTTACTTTTATTGACGTTTCGGTTTCAAGCAACCTTCGTCAGAATAGAATTACAAGTTAAAATATAAATATACGTCTCAAATGCACATATTTATATTTTAACTTGTAATTCTATTCTGACGAAGGTTGTTTGAAACCGAAACGTCAATAAAAGTAAGTGCATTTAGTTATTTGTTGGCTCCACCGATAACCTCATAACACAAATATGTCCCTAAATAATCAACACACAGGTCAGCTGATAGTTTCGCGTTTCGTCATTAAAAGTTGCAGTTTTTGGCGCTGCTTTGGCGCAGTTTTTTGGTGTTGTTGCAGTTTTGGCCTTGCATTACATATACAAATATTGTTGCACCCCATATTGATGCATTCATGCCTTGACCTTTACATTAAATTGAGCCGTAACACTGCATTTTATCAAGCGTAAATACACATGTGGCTGGCTGTGCCCACAGCTAAACGGAGTTTTTAAAAAGGTTTGTGGTCTGTCTCCTTTTCATTAGAAGAATGCATGAAACTTAGACCCCGTACTCAGAATGGAAAGGCGGCATCCACCCAACTGAATACCACTGGGACCAACTGTTTATTTGAGACCCACAAGTCCTGTCAATTGGAACGTATTTTGAGCACCGGACCATTGCTGCTCAGCTGTAAAAACACAGCAGCACAGAATTAACGACCGGACATACGATCATGTAGTTTCAATCATATTGAAACTGTCCCCACAAGCGGCCACTGAAAACTTCTCAGCCCTTTCGATAAACGTTCACCAGAACCATAAAATTTCAGTGAACCACATATCGTTAAACAAGCGGATTCTGAAGTGACATCTTCCATCAAACACTCAAAGCTTCGATAGCCACTTGTATTGATATCGCGTATTCATTGCTATAGCCAGTGGTTGTCATGCCTTCTGTTTATAATCCGGCCACCCACTCAATGAAAGACACTAGCTTAGTGTCCAGCGCCGCTCATCACGATCAACACCACCGTCACGGTCGCTCACGGAGTCGCTCACGGTGCGGCTCACAATTTTTCACAGTCTGACTCATAGTCACTCACGGAGTCGATCACTGTAGCTCACGGGGTCGTCACGACTGCTCACAGAAGCTCACTGGCTGGCTCACGGAGTTGTTACAGAGCGGCTCACGGCCGCTCACGGAGTCGATCACGGTTACTCACGGAGTCGATCACGGTCCGGCTCACGATCGCTGATCACGGCCGCTCACGGAGTAGGTCGGTGACAATACGGTAGCGGCACATGATGTCGTCCCAGTCCACGTAACCTCCCTCCAGAGTGCGCTGCGAGTCCTCGGTGACCGTGAAGCCGAGCCGGCCGTGAGTCACGCGACGGTTGTTGAACACAGCTACGTCTCCTGTGGGAAGGGAAGACCGTGAGTCGTGGTTCATAGCATAGTAACATTTACTGGGATGGCAGTGAGTTGAACTAGCGACAAGGCCACTTTTATGCGGAAGGGATAACTGCGTTGAGCAGCCAATGGTTGATTATGAATTAGTGATAAATGCGTGATTTTCAAGAGATCAATTTATAAATAATTCCATGAGACGTGCAGGAATTCAAAATTGCATTGCCTTAGCTTCTCTTCGCTGCATTCTATCACTCGTCTCACAGAAATAACCCGCAGCTGACGACTTACCGTTGTCCATTTTGAATGTCAGCTGGTTGTCGGGGTGCCTGCAGAGGTCGTTGAACATGCGCAGGCCCTCGTACATGGGCTTCACCAGCTCCAGAGGCACGTTCAGGCGGTACGAACGGACCGGGTTGTTGGTCGCCACCTGGGTGATATTGCCGTCCTCGTCCATGCTGAAAAGAAGATAAAATAAGACGCAAAATAGCACGCAAAACAGACCTCAGCTCGTTATTTCACATGGGGGTAGGTGTCGTTGCGTCCATGTTTCATGAGAATTGATTGAAGTTTTTAGCAGCGCGGGGTGCCTGAAGTTAACAAGCGAGTTTTTGTCGTTCGGTGTTCATATCATAGGCGAGACCGGTATCTTTGAGCCCGACGTTATGCCAAGGTTTTGGTAATCGTCTGATGTTTGAAAGGAATATGATCCGATAAGAAAATGATCACATATAGCATCGAAATCATGCTTGTACGAAATAAATAATAGGAATAACGAATTGAGGATGCCCGATAATTTAGTCTGAGCATCGCAGACTGAGTTATGCATTAACTATAAATTCGGTATTATTACGCATGGCCTAAACCTAACTTAAACAGTTATTGCTGCACGTATGCTCAAGATAAATCGCAGTGAAAGTGAGTCGCGGTGCGTAGAGGCATCTGTGAAACATGAGTATTGCATTCCAACGTTTACTTAGGTCAGGGACAGTCCCATCGTTGAATGTCTGGGGTGTTGCCGCCTAGCTATGGGGGCAAGGTCAGCCGCCATAGTACGCTACTTGCATCCATGATAGTCACGACCTCCCTCTAAAACACTCCATGGGTCTCGCCCCGCCATGAATGGCTGAGTACCTACAGATCTATAGCAACGGACGCGACCTAGCTATCGAACGTCTAGCTGGAACAGGTTATGGTGACAAAAAAATATGAACAAAAAACAGGCTGCACTATCATACCAAAACATGGCGCGCTCGTGGATCTTTTGGACTGCGCGGCTACTCACCAGAACATGGTGCGCTCGTGGATCTTGTGGAAGCGGCAGCGGCTGCGCGACTCGGCCTCCTCTCCGATGTCGGCGAACTCGAACGGCACGGTGGCCAGCAGGTGGAACAGGTCCGGCCGGCGCGCGCGGATCACCTCCGCCACGTGGAAACTGTCCGAGAAGATGCTCTCGCCGCCGTCACCGATGTGCTGAGAGATGCAGTGCAGCATCTGCACCTGAGGCCAGACGAAAATCGGAGTTTACAGAGGAAGTGATTTGGTCCGAAACTCCGGAGGTATTATATCTTTGACACCTACTTCATACTTGACATTTTAATAGGATGTAAAAAAAAAACTGTACAGGGTTTCGTTTAAAGTGCGTTCACTCATAAATGCCCTCATGGCAGGCGAAAGTTGGAAATGAGGGCGTGCAGCATGCATGGGCATAACGCAGTAAGTATGTATATTGTGCAAGCGTGCGCTATGCCTGCACAGCGCACATATTGTGCGCTATATTGTGTGCGCGTGCTGATTGGACCAGGCTCAGCGCTTATAGCAGGGGTGGCATGACCATTGATCACGTTTACTTTTTAGTTATGATTCCAGCAGTGACACATAAGCAGACGTGAGGTCTGGGTGAAACTAACCATTAGCCACGCTAGTGAAGTGTCCCTGTGTGTCATGGATAAACGGCGACTGGTTATCTAATGTTGGAATTCAATTTTATAATTGTTAGTAAACCATGGTGGCACGCGGCTTCATACCGGCCAGTAACAAGTGAAAAAGTCTAACCTGTGATGTCTGTCATGCCCTTGATCTCGTTATCAGACGTTTATGACAGAGCACAGATGCACGGGCCTGCATCATATCACTGATTTATCTAATAGTGCCAGGGGTGTGGCAATACATGCGAATGGAAACTTTTGCTAAAACTGTGCGCCAGCGCCATTAGACGGTTATTCATCAACCGATTTATGCTTATAGTTTTATGCATGAGCAACAGACTGGTGTTTGATTCATCTGTGATTGAATCGATTGGATTGAATCAAACAAAATTTGTTGAACCAAAAAGGTTTGATTCACCGTCAGGATTGTTTGATTCACAAGCCATGATTGAATCAAACGCATTGGGAATCAGGGTTGATTGAATCAGAAAAAATTAATGATTCATGAACTTAAAAAAATTGAAGTGAACGAACATTCATTATCAACAAATATTAACACTACTGCAATTACATGACAACAAAAAGAACACAACAAATGCAATACTATCCCTGATATTTTGTGCCTTTTATTTTTTAATTGAATCAAAAAAGAATCATTCAAAAAAAATTGGCTGAATCAAACGTGAACCATTCCTTTTATTGTTTTTTGATTCTCTGAATCAAAAGGAATCGATTCACCAATTTTTTTGAAGGAATCAAACGGTGATTGAATCAAACAAAAATCAAATGAATCAATGATTGAATCGATCCAAAAAAGGTGAATCAAAAACCAGTCTGATGAGCAAAGAGTGCAATGTTTTTTTCAGAAGCCATATGTATAGAAATTCAACCATACGCAAACATAATATGGAGGCAATGGCTTAAAATATCGCATCGGGGACTGACATTATTTAGAAGTCAATTAAATCTGAAATCATGAAAACATTCATCGGTGTTATTTTTAGATATGACACTGCAATATGCTTTAATCGTCCTAAATATTTGTGATTCAGCTTTGTGTACATACCAACAAGGTAATCTCTGCCGCAGGCCACTGTTATTAAAGCAAAGATTTAACGACAGTACAGGGTAAATTAACTCTTCAAGCACTCTGCGGGCCAAATGGGTCGGAGAAGTAACCGATAAGAGAAGAGCATCTGCTGTGGCAGACCAGCGCTTACTTCGCTCTTCTGGAAATGACTGGATGCAACTGGAATGTAGCCTGGAGCCTCTTAAAGCGCACATGTAAAGCAATGCGGCGGGAGGGGAGGGCGGTATTCAAGTGCAACCGAACTTACACCATCACATTTCTGAGAGATCTTGGAAGTTTGTTGACCGATTCAAAAGCAAAACACCCACACTGCTTCGTGCTGACATGTTTTCAATAACATTAGAGTCGAGATGGTCACTTACCCCTGGCATGTACTCGTAGTAGGTGAGATCCATGTGGGGCGCCAGCTCGTTGGCCGTGTACGCAAGGTTGTTCGCGTCCACCTTGGATGCTACTCGAAACGTCTTCCTGCGGACGAACGAATCCATTTTAGTCTAACAAAGGCAAAACAAAGGTCTAAAGGGGGCCCATTTGACCCATTTGATCTTGGCTCTTCTTTAGTTTCTACTGCTTCACCGTGGAATAGCTGGCAAAGCTAAGGGTCACGTCACACTTCGATTTTTTTTTTTTGCTGCCGTTTTCAAGGGCGCTCAGAATGCGATAGTGAGGCGTGAGCGGTCACCGTACGTCCTCTGTCCTCATCCACCAATGCTCAAACAAATCGCACTCCCAACACGCTCGAAAAACGGCAGAGAATCGCGGGTTCTTATAACAGAACAAAGACAAAGTGTCTCGTAGGGTGTGCCTCCCTCACCGGCAGAGTGTCTGTGGACTTCTCTCATCCGTAGTGTGACCGGACCATCCTCACCCGTAGTGTGTGTCCCTCACCCGTAGTGTGTGTCCCTCACCCGCACTGTTTGTCCTCCCTCACCCGTAGTGTGTGGGCCGGACGTGGCCCAGCGTCTCGCCTATTTCCTCCACGGCTCCGAAGTCGGTGGGCGCCTTCCGCACCAGCACCAGCCCGTAGACGATGAGGTGGTGCAGGGCGTCATGGAGGGTGGCCAGGTCGCCGCCCACCAGACGGTCGTAGTCCACGCGCAGCAGATGTCTGTCCATGGTGGCACGGTCCCACAGCACCGTCTGTCAGGGGGTATGCCAACGTCTGCGGTCAGTCACCTTATCAATGGTAAACAGGCCTCTTCAGAATAAGGAGTATAAACCATATAAACTACGGCCTGAAACAAGTACAGCAGCACTCTGACTGCAGGCATTCCCAGGGTCAACTCGCAGCCCGTGCTCGTCAGCAATGCTGCGCAGCGCGCACCGCTTAGACGGCTGATATGATTACAATCGCTCTTTCTGGAAATGTGCACCGTAAATTCAATGTTTATTTGCTTATGGTGTTTTTATGTTGGTCTGGTTTACAAGGGTCAGTAAATTCAATGTTTATTTGCTTATGGTGTTTTTATGTCGGTCTAATTTACAAGGGTCAGATGGCTTAAAACAACTTTGTAAAAATGATATGAAATAATAGCATGAAAATCTATAGGAGACTCTTACCGATTGAAATATATTAGAACAGCATCTATATCCAATTTCAGGGAAGGGGAGGCGAATTGAACGCCGTGTGCTGCTCGGGGCTGAAAATCCATAGTTTGTCGGGGTTTACTGAGAAATCGATTCAAGCAATCAACATAAAGATTAATTAAGTGAACATTTTGGTGGGCGATACCAGAATGAGATGCTGATTGGATGTGTGGGTATTTAACCGATAGACATCGTGCTGATATAAGACGATTACCATGAATGTCCGACGTTTACCTTTTTGGTAGTTGATAGTAATGCGACGACAAATAAGGCGCATCCCATTGAAACGCGGTACCTATGTTCATAACTGAAGTTCCATTGAAGCAAAGTACCGGTCTCCTGCGCCTTGTTGCTAGGCGTTCCTCCGCTCACCTTGGGCCCGTCCAGCTGCTTTCTGCGCGCATTCACGTCCCGTTTGGCGAAGGACCTCTCGCGGAGCCACTGGTGGGGGTAGCGGGACACGTGACCATCTGGCCAGGTGACCACCAACTGCTGGGCGGCACCGTCATTCTGAAATAGTGCGGAGGCCCCGGTGTCAACGGTGACGGGGTTTTGATCGTGTTCCAGCAATAATAAATGTACAAACTGTTGCTGGCAATGAGCTGACTGGGCAACACGAATAGAGTTGTTACACAGGTTTAGATACGAGTATAGTCATCTTTACCATTGCAGTTCAAATTCAACCCTGTCAGACAAAAACTAGACTCTGGCAGACACCGAGCTCGCCGGTCGCACCTCGGTTCGTCCTGCTGATGGTGATGCTGCCCACCTGGACGCTCTGCGGCTCGATGTCGACCTGCAGCTGGTCGATGCGCAGACTGCGGCTCAGTGTGGTCGGGTGGAAGCAGTCGGGGCAGAGGCAGCTGTCGCGCAGCCACACGTACGGGAACGGCGTCACCGAGCCAAAGTTCCAGACCAGGTCGACGCAGCCGGAGGTGCGGTTGTTGACCGCCTTCACCACCTGGTGGAGCGGCGCCGGCTGACCTGCGGGGAGGGACGAGGAAGGTGGGCGGGACGCCTGGCAGTTGTCTCCTCTGGTTAGGGTGGGCTCAAAGGGTCATTGGCTATTACCCTGTCACCAAACGCCACTCTGGAGTGCAGTGTTTGTTTAGGCAATCTCGTCGCATGTTAGTGTAGGTCTGGTGCACATGGAATTCGCCTATAATGTATGGCTGGCTCTTGGAGACGCTACGTTCTAGCAATTCAGAAATCCGACTAAATACAGGAATGACGACAATACCTTAAAGGGACTATCCCACCTTCTAAAAAGTTGTTAAAACCAGTTAAATTGTGCCCGACTTAATAGATTGGATGACCAGGAACACGGTTCTGGCATTTATTTTTCATTAAACATCTTAGACTTCCCATATTCCAAACACAAACTTTCAAATATGTGACGTCACAGCCCAAAATTACCTCCTTCCCCAGGCCACATTACTGTCATAAAGCTGATTCTTTTTACTCTGTAGGCACCACAACAAAGTTCAGACCAAGTTTTAAGCGATTTTTCAACGAACAAACCCATTTAAATCAGAATGACTAAACGAGGTGACGTCACACTAACGGTCGCTCCATGTTGAAGATAGGGCCTTGTACAAGGCCCATTTTCAAATGAAGGGAACGAATTTCTTCAACACCAAGAGGCCGCGGGAGTTGCAACCTAGATAGATAGTGGTTTCTGAACCTCGCTGCAAACTTGGCTATCTCAACTCAAACCCCATGTTAAAGGTGGGATAGTCCCTTTAACAGCATGTAGCATTTCGTTGTCGTACATCGATCTAGCATCGATTATTTATTTTGCAAACTGGACACGAGCTGTGCTCGAGATGACTACCCTATGTATTATCGAGATGACGATCGATGTATCGAGCACCTAATATCGAGATGACGATCGACGAGATGACGATCGTATGTATAATCCCTGCCCAACCGAACTCACGTTGGTGCTAAGAGCGGATCATCTGGAACAAGAGGCATTGATACATAGCTAGTTCATGGCTGATACATAGCCTCAGCTCGATGTGTGCGTGCCATCTTTGTTACTTAAAAGACACAATGTTTTGTATTTTTACGACGTTTTTGTGCGTTTTTTTTTTTTTGCATTTTTAATCCGTCTATTCAAATAATTCAGACTGATACTCGCAATAAATCATACAGGTCTGGATCAACAGCACGCTGTTATTGAACGCTTTATTTAGTCTGTCTTTGAATTCTATCCGAGATGCCTGAACGCTTGAGCGTCGTTGCCAAGTGCCGGCCGATTTCAGTCGCTTAGCCGTATATGTACACAGATGTGAGCCGCACCCTGGCCACGACATAGCAGACCACCTGTCAAACGCAGATCAGCAACAGCCCGCTGTGTACGTGCGACACTTCACAGGAGCAATGAGCTTGTGCGCTGTGCTGTCGTGTGACACTTACATAATAAGGCCCACGAGCGGTGCATATAATAACGACAATACGTCGTTTTCGCGACGGGCTATCTGGGGAATGCACCTAATTTGAGCAACTCTGCACGTATATTTTCACATCATCAATTTATTTCGATGTTTTAATCGAAAATAATGTCTGATGATTTGAAAAATGAGGTACCTAGGTATATATGCATCTGTGCAGCCTAAACTGATAACTTTTAAGAAACATTCTGATCCCAATTTGACCGAATCTGCACCAACTCTGCACCTAATCTACACCAAATGTGTACCAGATGGCCCTCGTGAAAACAGCTAATAGTAACTTGCGATCTTGTGAGCAAATAGTTACCTACCTACCGAAGTCCGAAGGCTTCCAGCGCTTCCAGAAGGACAAAAATAAAATGACGTTTAAAACAGTCATAAGTATGGGAATCGAAACAATGACGATCGCTCAAATAGAAGTGGGCGAAAAAGATGACCAACTCAACGAGCGGAGCGCGGGCCCGGTAGTGAGCCGCACCTCCGGGCTCAGGCCCACGCGGCATGTGAATAAAATCGCAACATTGCACTGTGACTGCACAGCCATCGGCGGATCTAAAGACGCTGCAAAAAGATGCTAATAAATATCCCAATCGCAAAGACTCTTCGGAGGTTTATTTTAGCTTTCTTATGTAGCGTTCGCTCTAGGAATGTTTTGTACCCATTTCATTTTATTCTAAGCCTTTTTTCCTCTGTTCTCCTACAGTACCTAAGCCATCTTAAGCATATCACTGTCACTGTTTCATGAAAAATAATTAGCTGCATGATAACTGCATTGCTGTTTGAACGCTGTAAGCTGCAATATGACCTTCCCCAACTCCCTCAATCAGTTTCGCATCATCTCATCTCTGCTGCACGATAAAACTCCCGCCACAATCCGACTGTGCACCCAATTCTGTGGACAGTAAGCCTACTTACGATGACGCTAAAATTCCCCAGCCCACCCGGCGGCGGCTCTGCCTCCCTCCCGTTCCCGGTACTGGGGCCGCGGTGCCGCCAGCGAGGAGATATACCTGCCGCCTGGACGCTGTACCGTCTCCCCGGCCCGCCGCCGCTGAGGGGAGACGGTCCCACCGGCGGCCGATGACGGTCGGTGACGGCGGCGGCCGCTCCCAGAGGCCGGATGACGCCCCGTGAGGTCACCGGCGGCCGGCGGACGGCGCGCGTCACCAGCGGCAGGCGGCACACGCAGCGGCCGGCGGCGGCGGCCATTGTCACCGGTCGGCGGCGGCTCTGAGGGCAGACTGGCCGACGCAGCCGGCCCGCGCCCCGTGCAGGACCAACCGCGGCTGCGCAGCCGCCGCCAGACACCCACCCGTCCCCGCCTCTGACCAACTGACAGATGGCCCTTTTTTGTTGGACGTGTTATTCTAGCTGACAGTTGGCTTACTGCAGATGTAGGTGTCACACACTTGCAGTCTGGACGGTGTGTTGTGGTGTGAAATAAGTTGAACGGGAATGTTACGATAGGTCACACCGAAAACGTCGTAGTTCATCCATCTATGTACAAGGTATGTAGGCGTAAAAACTCCAATTCCTTTTTGAAATTTTTGGAAAGTTATTTTAGTCCCTAGGTACATACCTAATATAATGATACGATACATTCACCGGTATCTCAGCTAGAAGTTCTGTACATCAGCGGCCCGCCCGAGTCGCCTTGGCACGAGAACTGGCCAGTGCCAGTGGCCGGGCACCCCGCCGGCGCAGATCTGCCACGGGGTGCACCGTGCCGTTGTAGGTATAGGTATGTACGTGTGCACGTGTGCTGGTTTTTGCCTTTCACCTTGACCTCTGAGTTGACCTCGAAAATTGCCCCGAAGTTAAAAAACTAAACGTTTTATTGGAATCTTCTCGTGGAGATCTTTCGTTTGGCACCGTTTTTGTTTCCGTAGCTCCCTTATATAGTACAGAGTTGAGAGGGGGGATGCCCTCCTCCCCGTCCGCTGCAGTGGTTGGATTTGGAATCACCTCCCATCATGGGCGCGGCCGGGTTATAGCATCGATAGTTAGTAGTAGTAGTCGTAGTAGTTACATGTCGATGTCAATTTTTTTTTGCAATTTGCAGGCAGGGCTGCGGAGTCGATGGATTTTCGGCGACTCCGACTCCGACTCCGACTCCGGCTTTCAAAAACCAGCTCCGACTCCGACTCCGACTCCGGGCAAAATTGTCGACTCCGACCGACTCCAACTCCCGACTCCGACTCCGCGCAGACCTAGCAGGGCTGCGGAGTCGACAGATTTTCGGTGACTCCGACTCCGACTCCGGCTCGGGTTTCTAATTTCTAAAATCGACTTCGACTCCGACTCCGACTCCGAGGGCTGTTCACGGGCCCTGTGTGCGGTCGGACCGCACACAGCCTCCAAGCTCCGCCCACTGCGTCCCTACGTCAGCCTTCCGTCACCGCACACAGCGATCGCTGTGGCCGGTCGGGACTGGCCACAGCGGACCGTCCACCGCACGCAGCCGTGACGTCAGAGCCGCCTACCCATCCCCTACCCCCACGCCTGCTGGACGCTCCGCACACACCGCACGCAGCAGTGTGCGGTGCCCGTGAACACCCCTCCGGTCACAACTGTTGACTCCGACCGACTCCGACTCCGACTCCGACTCCGACTCCGCAGCTTTCTTTACTGACTGACCAGTGACTACAGTTACACAATACACTGTGCACTTAGTCGTACACACTATTCATTTGACAGAATACAACAATCAAGATTACTTACAAAAATGATTACATTATAGAGTTCAGTGGATTACACCGAAAGAACTTCACGCGGTAGAGTTTTACTCTGAATATGGCAGCTTTCTGGAGCGGGAGAATTTGAAGAAATTGAGACAAAAATGGACCTAATGCGCGCCATTATATTTTCTAGATGTTTTTATTTGTGAGGCGTATTTGTTTGTTGTAGATGAAGTTGTAAATTGAAATAAATTGTGGTAGGTATCAAATACCGGATTGAATTTACTGGTCAATTAAAAGGTATTTTCGTCGTAGAGGCCGGTTTATCCTAAGTCAATGAGCATTTTCTAGCTTTTGGCGCTAAAGAAGCTCAAGCTGGTAAGTTGTGTATCGTGCTTGTATCTTGCTTGTATCATGCTTCAGCTTGGTATCATGCTTGTATCATGCGGTTTTGTACTGTAATTGTAATGGTGATGTCAGGTCTTTGTTCAAGGTATAGCTATGGTTTTCCTTGTATTTTTACATGCATACGTATCCTGCCGTGATGAGGCTGATGCATTGGTGTTTTTTTTTTGCAAGACATTTGGGCGTCATTTTTGGATTGAGGATGTCAAATAATGTATACGAATTTGCAAAATTTATCCTTGAGTTATTTGGACTTTATCTTGAAATTTAGGTACCTACCCTACTGATACCAATACTAATCATAATTCACAATACCTAGCTTTCCATCTTGCTTATTTTTCAATGAGTTCATTTGGCCTGAATGTCAATGAGGTGCTGGATCAGTCGGGGAAACTCTGGCAAAATCTGCTATTTTTAGCAGTCTGCTATTTATAACAAATCTACCAAGAATGGGTAGGTACGCATGTGATGTCATCATACCCATTCCAATGGCCAATTATTGCAGAGTTGGGTACGGCCCCATTCGAAAACAGATCTACGCCCTAATTTTGAAGCAAATGTGCATCAAAATTCAAATGCCTGGCAGATTCATTATGAGAATAGTGCTGAGTGAGAGTGTATTCTCCATTCTATTCACCCATTTTTGGCAGATTGCTGTTATAAATAGCAGACTGCTAAAAATAACAGATTTTGCCACAGTTTCCCCTCTTTTGACTATATTGACTTGAGGCTCAGATGACCCTGTGGATTGCAAATTCAGCATGGCTATATTTTATCAGTTTATGGCAAATGCATTGCTAGGCAGTAGGTTGAGGTACAGGGTGGTCCAGATAAAATGCTACCCAAAGCTTTTTAAATGGCAACAAATGTATTTGCAATACACATTACACAAACAACACATCAGTCAGGCAAACTAGACCTCTGGGATCAAAATATGGAGGCATCAATAATTTGATTCTGTAGGATGTGCTATGACCTGACCATATATGGGCATGTAATCAATTTTTTGATTCATTTTGGTACACTTGATTTCAAATTGAAATCAGTCGGGGGAGGTTTGTTGAAAGTCATTTTTAGCACATGCCATTTTTGGCAACCTGAACCATGTGCCAAAAATGACAATGCTATTGCTATCAGCTATTTTTGGCAACGATGAAGCAGATTTCACTCCTCAGCGAGGAAAATCACGATTTTGGAAATACATACAAGCACTGATTTTGGAAAAGAAGTACTGCCACCTGGTGCAAGAAGAGGAAACCAGCTTTAATTGGCTGTTACATGGTCGCTGTAATCTTGTTAGTATCCATCAACCCCTTTTATTATCCCAGTCCTCAACACAAATGTTTCTGCATTTACTTGTAGTTGAAAGCCTGTCATTTTGCTGTGATTATTGCTTCCTATTCACTGTCCTCTTTAGTGTCTTCACACAAAACATGGGTTATTTGTTTTTTTTTTGCAATTTCCTCATCTGACATCTTGCTCTTTGCCTCATGTTCATCTTTGCTCATGGACATCACCTTCACCGCTGACCCTAGCTGACCTGCGAATTATGGGTGTCGGTTTCTGTCGCAGGGTACGGGTCATGGGGTCTGTTAGGCGACCCGTGCTGGCTCCCGGCATCGAGTCGGACCCCACCGAGCTGACGCTGGCGCGCAGTGCCGAGCTGGCGCGCCAGAGACGCCAGGACCGGCTGCTGGCCGAGGTGGCCGAGCTGCGCGCGCGCAACGCCGAGCTGCGGGCAACGCGCGCCGACCTGCAGCGCCAGCTGGACGAGTCGCGGCCCGACCAGCGGCGCATGCACGCCTCGTTCGCCACGCTGGGCCGCCAGGCGGTGGGCCGGCACCTGGGCCTGTGGGCGGCCGCCGGCCGGGCCGGCAGCGTGGCCGTCCGGCTGCGGCCCGACGACAGCCGGCCGGCGCACACCCTGCAGCTGGAGCACGACAGGCGACAGGACGCGCCCCTGAAGGCCACCGTGCGCGACCTGCCGCCCGGGGTTCAGCTGGACAGGCACCTGCAGCGGCACGGCACTGTTAGGCAGGTCAGTGGCGGCACCGTGTGGGAGAACAGTGGCGGCACCGTGCGGCGGTCAGTGGCGGCATCGTGCGGCGGTCAGTGATGTTGCCGCCCAGTGGTTCATTTGTAGCTTTTTGGATTCCGGCCATCAACTGGCAAAGTCCAGGCGGAGCCTTATTTCCTCACTTTTTTATTTTTATGCTGGCAATTATCTCAGTCATCTTAGTTAATGCTAATTGTTACTTTCTCAGACTCCAGACATATCTGTCCGCTGAAGGCCACGGTGCGCTTGCTTTGGCCTCACTCTTATTTGTCGGCCACCGTCCCCGCGTCTCGCTGCTCTCCGAGTGGGGTGTCTGACGTCCCCCTCCCCTCCCTCGCCAGCTGCCGGCTCTGGTGCACGCCGTGGCCACGGAGGTGGACGCGTTCGCCTCGCGCCGCCGCCAGGTGGAGGAGCTGCGCGCCCAGCTGCCGGCGCGCAGCTCCAACCTGTGGCACGACCCGGCCGTCTGCGACGTGATGCTCCAGCTGAAACTGAACGCCTCGGGCGGCGAGCGGCACGCGCCGCGCATCCCCGTGGAGCTGAACATACAGTACGCGCCGGGCGCGTCGCTGCCGCACCAGTGCCGCCTCACCGAGACGCACCAACTGGAGGAGGCCGACCGCGAGGAGCTGCTTCAGCTGACGACCATCTTCCTCCGACTGCCGCTGCGAGAGGCGTTCAAAGAGGCCTTCCAGTAGACGGGGGTTGGTCGGGGGAAGGGGCAGGGGAGGTGTCTTTGATGGGGAATGGAGGGGAGGGAGAGGGTTGGGATGACATTCGCTCGGTCGCTAGGATTACTGATGTAATCGGAATAACTGATCGATAGTAGAAAGGACGGGACGGCAAGATCAGCTCAACAAAAACGAGTCGTATGTTTTTGCGTCTCGTTTTTCGTTGGTGGACAGTTCGCACTGTGAATATCGACTGCGCGTGGTTACAGTTTCAAGAGGACATTCCTTTGGTGGGACCCCAGCCTGACTCGGCTCCGTGGTCAGAGTGAGCCAGGCCAGCAGGGCGGTGTTCACCCGCGAAATGCGTATCTTACTGCCGGCAATTGAGTAGTGTTTTCTGTAGAGGTCATACTTTGTTTACGCCTCGCTAAGTGGACGGTTTTGTCCGCGAAACAGTGGTTTGAGCCGCCCCGTGAGCTCAAAAGCACGCCACACACGCCATAATGGCTTTGGCGTGCGTCCTGGCCAGGCATAAAACTTTTCGGCCGTGGCATTATCTTACCTGAGATGTAAATATATTTGTTTAAGTAGATTGCAGTCTACGTTTAAATAGCGCGGTAAAGCTAGAAAAATAGACTCTTAATTAAACATTTTTTTAGCTTTGAGCACAAACCGGTTCGATTGACATGTTCCTCGGGTCCACATTTTGTCATCTCGAGTTCAGACTCTGGTCGACGTGCCAAGAGCAAATCGCACCAGAAGCTAACATACCTATTCGACCGTTTAAATGACTACAAATAACGCAACTGGGACCGTAGGATTAATCTGGCCGACGTGCGGTGGCTCTGTTCAAGTTGGAATATAGAGTCCAGTTCGAAGTGATGCAATCATTTTTACATAATACATACATAAATACGGATGCAACAGAGCTTTGCGTCTGTGCGATGCTCCCGTCTCTCTTGACATAACGTATAAGTTGCGTCTATTCTTCTGCGTGGGCCACAAACAAGCAAACCTTGCCAGCACGGGGGATGCAACCGCTGAAGTTTTTGGTGAATATCTCGAGAGCCCTTGAGCTTCCCATGGTCTATGCTTCCTATTCATCCCACAGACACACAGTCAAATTCGATCTGGGCACTCGCTATTGGTCGGTTCGGCGATTCGGCGGCACTACACAGGCACTGAGCTACTGAGGTCGAATGTCGGCACGGACAGCCTGTAGGAAATCCCTACCCCTATTCTCTATGGTGTATCAACACCTAACAGGCTTAAAATACCCTGAGTTTCGAAATACCCGCTGGCTTCAATGGCATGTCACGCCGTATCAATGAACAGAGAGCAGGTGTAGCAGGAGAAGACCGATTCCGCCGATTCGGTTCACACTCAGCACCCGCACATGAAATCCATCACCTCGTCCGACATACGGTCCAGGCTCGCGTTGTTTACATGGTAGATCTCGTCGTCACAGACCTTCTCGTCAGCGGGCGTCTCGTACATTTTCGCCCGGCACGACCGCATCAGAAAGTCCGTGACGATCTTCAGGTGCGAGGACCACACCCAGACACCCCTGCCGTCCAGTTCGAGGAGCGACTCGCGCGCCAGCGGTGCCAATACAGCCATGTCGTCGTTCATCCCCTCCGCGTCGTGCTTGTTTCGTGTGTTAGACGGCTGCTCCAGCATCCAGACGACCCGTGTGCCGCGCGCAGTCATCGGCTTCAGCAGGGCCGCGGCGCGCCGCAGCGTCTCGGCGTACACGGCGGAGGTGGAGCTGAAGCTGCCCGACACCAGGTAGTGCAGCCCCTGAGTCAGCAGCAGCACGTCCACGCAGTCGCCGGCCGACGCGCAGGCGCTGCTCAGCTCCGCCAGAGTCGAGAGGAACCCTTTGAGCGCGAAACGCCAGCGGAACTCGAGTGTGAGCCCCGGCGCGGCGGCGGCCAGCGAGCACCACGCGCGCGGCGGGCCGTCGTAGCCGTCCGCGTTCGGCTTGGGCCACACCTCGAGACACGTGGAGTTGGCCGTGGCGAAGTGGACCCACCCGGGCTGCAGCGGGAGGTCACGGAAGGTGGCCGCGGAGAGTGCCGCCCGGCGAGCGTCGAGCCGGGTCACTGGCGGCAACCTCAGGTGCGCCGACATGCGCTCAAACACCTGCCTGAGCCGTGAGTGGCCGATGAACAGCACGCGGGAGACGCCCTGTCTGCGCAGACACCGGCGCGCGCCGGCCACCGTGTGACGACCGGGCCTGTACCAGCGCTCGGCCACCGGCTGCAGCGACAGCGGGTGCAGGAGCGACGAACACCTGCGGAGAGAGATAGGGATGATATAGGGGACGACAGCGCCGTCTGAAAGGGATAGTGTCTTTGTTATGGGTATGAACTTCAAACCTGAACCTAAGTTAAATCTAAATAGAGGAAAATTAATTCTATCCGTCGTACTTGCAATCAACGACTGACAAGCTGAGCAGCGCTATGATCTTTCAACCTATGACATCTTATAGTTTCGTTTCAGCCAAATGTGCGGCTACGATTGGTTCATTTATCAGTGTTCAACAATAAACATTCCAAGCGATGCTTACTCATCGATACATGGCACGGGATAACTGCATAGTGCGGGGAAGCGTAACCACTTTGCAAAACACAACGTTATGTAAAAGTTCATTGTGTACAAACTGCACAAACCTGAACTGATGCACCTGACCCGGTTCACCTCCGCGCCGCTGAACGACAAATACCACACAGCCCACCACCAGCGCGAGGGCCAGCGGCCGCCCAGCGCGCCGGGTCACGGCACCGACGGCCTCCCGCAGACGACGCGACATGACCCTGCCGGCGACCGGCAGCGCGGCGCGACCCGACTGCAGCCGCCGCGGCGACCGGCAGTGGCGGCCAGCTCTGCAGGTGAACGTCCTCTGCAGTTGCGCCCCGGGCGCCGAGATGAGAGATGAGCCACACCGCAGCGCCCGGAGAGCGGCCGGCGCGGCGCGAGACGGGGCGAGTGGGCACTGGGGCAGATAGTTGTCGTGGCCGTTTTTTTTTTTTTTTTGCTTCGTTTATGAGGACTTATTATGTCGGTAGCGTTTCGTTGGACTGACGATTTACTATAATGGCAAAAGCTTTGCGCGTTTTGGAGCAATTAGGCCTGGGCTCGAATGAATATGTAGCGTTACGTGACTTATTTAGAAGTGTAACTTCTGCTCACGACTCTGTAAGACGTCTATTGGATCGATGTGTATTGTGTATTCTAAGTTGACCGGCTGATGACATTGTCTAGCCGGGCGATGCAACACTTTGTTAAGCATTGCAACATAAATATTTGACATCTCTACCGTTTACTCACTGCTCGCTGGTGCCTACCGGCATGATTCGGGGATTCGTGAGCTCCTGAAGTCGCGTAATAAGTACGCGAAGCCAGTGTTAACGTAATTTGCAATGAAGGCGTTATACCGTTGTCAATAAACCTGTAGGTACTCATTCTGCATAGGTGGACAATATTAGGTACTGTTTGTGTCCCCCAGTTTTCACAACTCAACGCCGACGTGGCTTTAGGGCGGAACCGTAACAGTCGAGGGGAGTCAAAGTCAACACCGCTTGGGCGACGGATTTGCAGTGTCCGAGCACCCGCAGTTCCATACAATTTTCTAACTAAGGAATTATACGTGCAAATATCAGGGTCCGAAATAAGCCGAGTCAGATGAAATCCTAATTAGCTGATTAGAGACAAGCATAAGTCATCAGTGACCAATTGCGATCAAAACATCCCATACGAGGACTGGAGCTTGTTTATTTGTTTTGTTGGGTTAGGCCCTTTCGGTCCAATGAGACCATTTCAGAGCCGGGAGGATGATAGGATAAAGGGGGAGACATTGATCTGGGCAGGCACCCTAGTGAGTCGCCGGGGCTGAGCCCGTCCAGAGGACAGGCCACCCAGCAGCCCCAAGGCACTCACTGCACCCGGCTACGGGGTGCGCTCCCTCGGGAGCAGCGGTGCCGCTCCAAGGGAGCAGCCCGCATGAGATAAAGTTGCCTGTCCAGCCTGGAGGGGGGTTGTGGCGTGGAGGAGAAGGATTTCTGTTTCCTGAGGATAGAAGCACGGAACGGAGGACTGGAGCAATCATGGGAGCAATGCCCTGGCTCGCAACCAAGACTATAGAACTCCGTCTCTGGCCAGATCGGCTGGCGGCGCGACGGGCCCGGTTTTAGCTCCACAGATGGCGCCCGAGTGTCGCCTCTGCCCTGAGATCGCGTCTGCTATGCCGCGTGTCCACGGCTAGTGTTTGGTAAGAGCCACGGGTCGTCCGCGACTGAGCTCAAAGGATGAAGGTGTGCGCTGAGAGGACGAGGTCAATGTGAGATGTAGACTGTGCGTTTGTAAGAAAACCAACCCATCCATTAAACTTTTGAGCTTATTTCATAAGTTTTTGACCAACATTACTTTATTTTTGAAAGCATATGCAACTGGGTCAGAAACTTTTGAACGGGTAAAGCTATGGACGAATGAAGATGCTTCCTGAGTCATTCCTCTTAAGCCTTAACGATACCTACGCCTGACGAACGATACATATATTTAGGGCCTTGACCTACGCAACGTTCAGTTCGGTTTTCAGAATGTTGGTGGAGACAATACGCGTGCTTTGTATTGCATGTGTTGAATAAAAAGCATAATGGTATTTATTCTACTGTAATGAATGGTGATTTCAACATCGCATCGTCCAAATTTAAAGCCTCCATTGAGACTACAGCGTCATATGTAAAAATGTGAATGGTGCTTTTTTGCCGTGCTTGCTGTGCTTTCCAGCTAAATGAATTTGACGGCCTTGACTAGCTACCAAAAATGGATATGTCTCTTGTGCGCAGAATATGCATTTTCTTTGCTCAGCTGTTCAGAAATGTGATACAAATGATGAAAAGCTGCTAGCACTAGCAAAAAAGAGCGAATGAACGAAGTCAATTATTTATATAACCAATGGCCTTTCTACCATTTCATTCGTCATCAGTTTTCAGGTGATATTCTGAATAGATGTTCTTGAAGCAAATATGGAGCACAAAAGAAGAGTGACTAACGGGAACAACAACAGAGTGATTATTGACTAAGATTGACTAAGATTGTGGGGTGTCGTGGCGTATTTACAAATTGCAACCGAGCTCCGCCGTAGGGTATTTTATTTCCGCCGTAGTGTATTTCACTTGGGGGTTTTTCTACCATACATCTGCCTGAGCTTAGGGTAATTACAATTTGTCGGCGACGTTCAAAAATGATGCATCTTTTTTCGCAGTATAGGATATCGCATGTGCATATTTCTGCCTTTTTGGGTGCGCTTTATCGGTTTTTCGTGAGTAACTCGCGTAAAAACCGTCCGATTGCGACGAAACTTTCAATACCCCCGATTGTATCAATTTTACACCTACCCTGAAAATTGCATGACCCTGACCCAAATGACCTCTGACCTGTGACCTTTTTCTCGAGACCATGTTTGGCCCGAATCGCGATTCGGCGTATGTCGGCTCGCATTAGCCGCGCGGTTGCAGTCTTCACGTGGTTTCAAGCGTTGAGACATGTGATATGATGCTGGTCCCATGCATTAGGGTGGGTGTCAAGGTCACCTGAAGGTCAGGTTAGCTCAATGACCTTCGATGACCTCGGTTCACTTTTTCGAGTTTTACATGTTTCTAGGCTAGTTTTTGGAGCTGATTTCGAATTTAGCAACCATTTGAACATCACAGGGGGTGTAACGAAATTATCCGGACACCATTCTTCCCGCTGTAAAAAAAAAAACAATCTGGTACTTTTCCTTTTAACTGAGCTTGTAGCCACCTTTCATAAAAAAAAACACAGTTTACTCACCTCGTTTACTCACCTCGTTGGTTTCTGCATTTCTTTGGAGTGGTTTCAAAGGACAGTCAGAGAGGAAATGAGGAACCCACACAGTGGCGAATGTTCTGGAGCATTTCAGCCAATAGATTCTCCAGCACACTGGCTTTGATGCGGACCAACGCCGTCTAAACCTGTGCCTGCGGTTGAGCAGTGCTTATGGCGATTGGCGGGTGGCTCTTCATACACCTCCTGCTAAACAAGAGCCCACAGGTTTTCGATTGAATTGGGATCGCGACTTTTTCCAAGTCATAAGCGTTAGCCCAGAATGATTGAAGGTTCTATCGGCATCACTTCCCGTTCTTTTAGGGACTTTTAAGTAGCGCGCCGCCACGCATGAAGACAGCGTGGCTTGAATCAGGCATCAGTGCGCGTTCAGAAACCGTGCCCTCCTATGCCATCTGGTTGAGCGCCTCCAATCATGCTCCACCACCTTCCCTGGAAAAGCTCCACCCTTGCCTATGGGGCAAAATATAAGGGACAAAAACACAAAACAAGACAGATAAAAACAAAGCAAAATTAACTCATTACCTAATGAAATTCAGGCTGGAGCTAAAACATAGGTAATAGATATCTATGTCAAATTAGAATGAAAGATTAAAATCAACCTGACCAGCCCTTACGGTCTGACCGGGTCCTAACCACCTGACCTTACTTCGCCTAACTTGACCCAATTCAACCTAGCCTACCACAACACCTGCAGAGGTACCTTCCTGGAAAAATGACACCCAGGGAGATGACTGTCCAACTTATTGGAATACTACCATGATTGCTTGTCAAAATGTGTGTCATCATGCTCTTGTTTGACAAGTGATGTATAATAAATGTGATATTTAATAATTATCTCCTGACTGTTGACTGTTGAGTGATCAAAATATTCAAATAATCAGAGTACAATCCTGTGCATAGTGCACACTAATCACTGGCGGTCGCAGCCGCTAGCAAAAGGGGGGGCCAAAGTCACACTCGCGGGACATAACATTTATCCGTCACCGGGAGGGGGGGGGGGGTGATCGGCTAATTTTTTACGTCCACGAGGCGCCGCACAGTTGGCATTACTTATGCTTCATCCATCTCATTCTTGCGTGAAATCTTTGAGCTCAATTTAAGGCAAAATCACCAGTTCCATTTCCCGTCCCACGGTGTGCCCACTGCACCGGTCGGACCGCGGCACCGTCCATGACGACGGATCGGTGAAGCATAGGTATACTGGAAGGTCAGGCACGCGGATTCATGACCTTACCACTATAAAACAATTCGGAAAAGTACAGATACCTACATCTTGCTAAAAAGTACAGATACCTCTTGCTTTGAACAAGCATGTGAAACCCAGAGAGCATTTTTAGACTCATTTACCCATAGAGGTACCTAGTTGTGTGGCGGCGGGAGAGAGTAGGTACACCGGCCTCGGGAGACCCCCACAGGTTCCGAGCTTTCAGAATTGGCATCTGAGGGCCGCGCGCGACTCCTGCGGGGCTTCGCAACGGCTCTGTTGGGGCTCACTCAACCTGCCTAGTCCTACTGCTAAAAAGACTGCGCCCTGAGCCCTAAGGACTTCATCAGTCTCTGCCAGCCCCAGGACCCACACCGGCTCATGGGGGTTCCGACCTCGAAATATGAGGGAATCAGCGCGGGACCATCAGGACGTAAAGCAATCTCGATCAGGACCAACGTAAGGCTGTGCCGGAGACTGCGTGAGCCCTCTGATCTTCAGAAACCCACCCATGTATGTTTTCATGTAGAGGCTAGTTTAGGGCCCTCAGAGACCAGTACAGGGCCTGCAAACTACAAAGGCCAGTAGTTTGAGACCATCAGAGACCGAGTTGGGCTCTCAGAGGCTAATGTGGGTCCTTACTCATTACAGGACAGCATGGGCCCTCAGAGGTCAGCGTGGGGCCCTAAGAGACCGAAAGACCGGCATGAGCCGTCGTTGGACCCCAGAGGCCAGCAGAGGGCCCTCAAAGGCCAAGATGGGCCCTCCTCAGAGGCCAATGCAGACCCTTAGAGGCCGGCATCGGGTCTTCAGCAGCCAGTGCGGGGCCCTTATTGGCACCTAAAGGTTCGTCTTGGGACACCAGAGACAGAAATAAGGCCACCAGAGACCGGTGTGAGACCCTCAGACGCCGG